AGAGAGAGAGAGAGAGAGAGAGAGAGAGAGAGAGAGAGAGAGAGAGAGAGAGAGAGAGAGAGAGAGAGAGTGAGTGAGAGCGGGAGAGGGAGCGCCCGTCTCTGGTACGTTGTGCAACACTGAACTTTAAGGACTTTTATGTACATGCTTGATGCATGCATGTTGATTAAGGGTTCCAGGCCATGAGCGAAAAAAAAAAAAAACAGAGCAGAAAGCAAAGAGCAATATGCAGACATCAATATGGAGATGTATGTATGTGTATGTGTGTGTGTGTGTTGGTAAAATATTGAATGCTGTGCAGGCAATTTGGCTACCACTTAAAATCAGTGGCCAAAGCTAATCAAGAGGAGCTATACACAGTGCGAAAATGCAGACACAGAGAGAGAGAGAGAGAGAGAGAGAGACATAGACATGCATGCACTGAATGTATGTGTGTGTGATAAGCCGACTAAGTCGCCACTAGGCGGTGGCGGCGCCGCCGCATATTTGTGGCAGCGACGAGCACAAAGTTTTAGGCCACAAATTTCACAGCAGACAGGCAGACAGAAAGACAGACAGACAGACAGACAGACAGACAGGCAGCGAGGCAGTCAGGCAGTCCCTAGAACACGAAGCTTTGCCTGGCTGCCTGCCTGCCTGCCTGCTGCATGCAGCTGTCCATCCGATTGTCATGTGTCATAATCAGCCCAAAATGGGCGTGTGTGGCTGGCTGGCTGTGTGTGTGTGTGGGTGGATGGCTGTGTGGGTGTGTGTATGCATGCTCAGTGACTATGTAAATATTTTGAAAATTAACAACCAAACAATGGTTATATTTTCACACATAACGTAACAGCGACAGCAGCAGAGTCAACCGAACGACGAACGTCAGTTCGCCCCCAAACAGCTCCTGCTAATCCGCTGCACCGCCAACACCAGCAACAACACCAACGACAACAGCAACAGCAACAACAACAGCAACACCAACACGCGCAAGCTTTGTTGTCTCGTGTTTAGCCTGCAGGCCAAAAACATTTTTCCAATTTCCCAACAACAACAGCAACGCGTTTTTCCCGTTTATGCGCTTAGCCGGCCTTTGCATTGGCAGCATTTCGTGCAGCTGCTGGCGAGCATCAAGGAATTTGCAGAGTGGCTGCAAAAGCCACGTGTTGGCAATAAATAAAACTTTAGCCGCCTCTTGTCACAATGTTTTTCCGAATATTTAGCAATCTGGTTAACAGAGAGAGAGAGAGACAGAGCAAGAGGAGAGAGAGAGCAAGCGAGCGGGCGGGCCTAAACGAATCGATTGCCGCAATAGCCAGCTAATGCCTACAAATAGCAGCTAATTGCCCAACTGGTTAACTGGCATTAAAAGCGAGTAAGAGCTGATCTATATAAATGCACTAAAATGCGCACAAGATTTATAGATTGACAACGCACAATCGGGAAACACAGCATACATAAATATATATATGTACTCATGCATACATATATCATTCTCAAAATGCTATAGATCAAACTTTAAAAGAATGAGAATCGCGGAGAGAGGCGGTAGTTAAAGCAACGAGTTGAAGTGAGTCAAGTTGATAGTTGATATTAGTACATATACATATATACATACATGTATACACACATGCATATATACATACATACACACATACATGCAGCTGTGTTTATGAAAATAGTACAGCGACTACTCTCAGTCCATAAAATATTGGACAATTACAATTTTATGATACACACAATATTTTGAAAATAATTTTGAAGGAACATTAAGACTGACATATTTTATTTTTCTATGGTTAATTTATGTTATTTTAATTTTTTATTCACTTAAGAACATGTGTTTCTTAGAGAATGGGAATAAAATTAACCCAGGAAAATTCTAGTAATATAATAAAAGTTTCAAGTCCGTAGCTCTTAAAGGTCCTGAGATTGACGCTTCTGACCTATATTATTCGAAAACAAATTTCATAAATTATAAATTTCATTATATCTTTTATACATATCATTTGATTTCAATTAAAGATTCCATGTTATAAGTTCTTGCATATATCATTATAATTTCAGCAGTTCCTGGAAGCTTACACTATCCGGGACCCTGTAGCATCCCTAAGTATATGTGCCAAATATTATATATATATTACATTCTATTGATTATTATCTATGCTTTAAAATTCTATTTATATTTAAAGTCAAGTAATGCCGTCAGTCTTGGGCAATCTATTGATTTTTCCGTAGTTCTATAAATTAATGAAATTATTTGTATGTTGCGCAAAGTTTGAAGTGAGTTTTGCCAAATCAACTATAGAATATGCTCATTCGCATATACATATATAAACATGTACAATATATATATATGTATATATATGTATTGGTAGAGCAATGCTGAAACAGGTCAACAAATCACTTGGACTTGGAGCAAGGCAAATGCGGTTTGGGGCATGAGGCACACTTAGCCATCGCAGCTCTGTTTTGGGGCTTAATACAAATGCAAACTGAAGGTGTCGAGCCGCTCAGCCCTGAGCCGAGGGCAAGGTAAGCCAAAGTGAAAAGTGAAAATTAATTACTTGCCTCAAATACAAAAACAATTCAAGCAATGGACATGGATACGGTACGGACATGGCTATGGCTTGAGCTCTAGCCGAAAAACACACGCACACACACACACACACACACACACACAACATGTGTGTGTATGTCTGTGTGTGTGTGTTTTCATGCAACAAGCATGCAGTCAAAGGACGACTGGGCGAGACCGAGCATAAAATGAAAACAATATCCACTGGGACATAAATTACAAAACTTGTTGTTTATGCGTGTAGACGTCTCAAATAAAACACACACACACACATATACACACACACACACACACACAGGATGCGACTAGCAGCAGCAGCAGCAACCAAACATTACCAGGCCATGCCTATCTCTCTTTCGCTCTGTTTGAGAATCAAAGAGAGGAGAAGTGATGAGGCGGTGGCAGGGGGGGGGGGGGTGTTGGGCTCGCAGTGAGGCAGTGAGACAAGGGCGCAGCATTCTCACAATTTGCTGTCGTAATTCCATTGAGCCGCCATTTGGGTGCGGCAGCAACAGACGAAGACAACACGCCGCAGGCATCGTATGTCCTTTTAGCTTTTATTGTAAATGCTACAACCAACACCCGCTGCTCACTCCACACCTGTTCACACACACACACACACATAGCACACACATACGGCACACGGCTTACAGTTTACGTTTACAATTTTAGTTGTCAGCACATTTAGCTCGACGGCAAAGCGTTTTGCGGCACAGTGTCAAAGTTTGAACGCTGCTGCCATCGCCTGTTGCCATATCCGAACCCACAGTCAGCCATACAACCACCCGACCACCCAAACACCCAGCCACCTAGCCACCCACAGCTCGCAACCTGGGCACAAAGCGCTTTGACACAACTTTCAGCTCAAGGTTCAAAGTACGGAATTTATGTTTTCTTTACACGGCCCGCCGCAAACATACGCAAAAAAAAAAAAAAAAAAAAAAAAAAAAAAAAAAAAAAAAAAAAAAAAAAAAAAACCAAAAACAAGTAAGAATGTGCCGACTTTTTGTATGCATATGACTAGAGATACCCTACAGAATATATTCATGATTTGTCCAAAAGACTTATACTCCTAATGGATATGCTAGACATTAAGAAAAAGATTTTAACACAAATAAACAAGAATTGGGGAATTCTAAATAAAATAGTTAAAACATCTATTCAAAATCCAAATCAATTTTTATCGAATTCAGAATTATCGACCTATAGGTTTAACGTTCCCTGAAACTATGTATTCAAGCCACATTTCCCACAAATTATTAATTGAATTGGTATTTTAATCAAAGCAAATATTTTAAAAATAAATTGAAATCTAAAACAATGATATTTATATTTTATAAACTTAAAACAAGTTCAATATTTTTGTAATTTTTTTATTTAAAAAATAAATTTT